ATTTACATATAAAAGAAAAGAAGAAGGGAAAACTAAATTTTCACATACCTTTCAGACAAAACTTAGAAAAGCAAGATAATGGCTTTAAAATTGTCATGAATTGGGTCCCTCCTTTTGAATTTTGTTATTAACCATAACAAACAATCACAAAAATAATAATTATAAATTAAACAGAATATTCGTTTTAATGTTATTATTTATTTTTCGAAATACATCCTTAATTTTTAATTACTACAACTAAGTTACTACTTTAACTTTAGGTATTTATAATTTTATAAATAAATACCTGATGGCTCATGTATGTCTTTTCAAGCTGAAATACACTCACTAAATTATTTTATTATTAAAATACACAATCATGCTTTCACCTATTGTTTAAGTATAACAGACTTTGTTTATTATTAATATCTACAAACATCAGTTAAAAAGGTAAGGCGATTATGTATTATCATCTACTCAGTTTTACTTATTTCTATGAAACGCAAATAAATAACTAATTATTAGAAACGAGGAGATCAAAAATATCAAATCAAATAAATTTAGGCTTGGGGCCAACTTTTATTTTTTCAAGGCAAGTAATTATATGCTCTAAAATCGGCAATTAAATGCATTTAAATCTAATATTTTCAAAAACTGGCTCGCTACAAAGCATTTTTTGTGAATACTTTTGAATTTTATTTGAGATCAACGTAAAAGCTTTGTAGTAGCTTTTAATAATCGATCAAAAAATTAAGTTGTAGCGTAAATAGAAATAAGGTAAATTAAAGAAATTATACTTAACTTTTGACTAACTATCAGCTTGTACCCATTGATACCCAATAGTCAGTACAATTTTTAACTTAAACTAACTTTTTCTTATAGATTTAAGTCACGTATGCTTTTGTTAAATATATTACATACACTTTTATCGGTATCTGGAAGGGTTCCGTATTTTTCTACTTTTATTGATTCAACACCGTTTTATATTTTTGAGGAAATTTTGGAGTATGCAATAGCAAGATATAGAAAATGCTCGTAGTAAGTAGAAGAGGGAAAGGAAAAGTTGACGAACAGATAAGTATCGATGAAGGATTGGAGGTATAATCTAATATATGTCGACTCAACTGTTTGGGGTGGACTAGTATTTAAATATCAATGTCAAACATTCCATTGACTGAGATATAACTTCAACTGCCCCAAGTCAAAAAAGCAACACAACTAATTACATTTTTCTTGGGTTTCTTTTTCTATTCTCTCACACTTACTACAAAAAATTACGAAGAAAGTTCTTTCTCTTTCGTTTCTTCGGCTTCGTCCTCATCATTTTGTGACTTGGGATCAATCTTCGTACCTCTGCGATCCTTTTTCTGTTTCTTTCTTCTGTTTTGAAACCACATGGTCACCTGAGACGGCGTACTTTCGAGCTTCTGTGAAATTTCTGAACGACGTAGAGGACACGGATACGGATTCCGTGCGAATTCCTTTTCGAGTTCTTTCATTTGGTCCGGGGTGAAACGTTTTCGACCCTTTTTGGCCATGTAGGGACTGGCATCGAGGAGAAAATGGGTCATCGAATGCATACCTTGCAAATCAGGAAACCAATTACCTGCAAATAGACCCGGTTAGCAAATAAATTTACGTATTATCTAACAGTAACTTGTATTAACCTTTAACAATCACAACTAAACTAAGAAATTAGATACGTAATATTTACTTCTATAAATAGAAATATTTCTACGGTTCATACATACCTTATTGGGGTGTGAATATTACGTACAAAATACGACTAACGATAAATAAACACTTGGAAGATAATGCATTTAGGTAAATGAAGCTTTTCCAACAGGAAAGTAGAAGAAATTTCACTTTAATGGTAGAGAAACCTGCTAGATGCTCTTTACGGAAACTGGCTCTCTGTCAAGCTCATTGAAACTTTGGATTCTGCTAGTTCTCGATGTGTAGTAGTCTCAATGGGATCTAAGTCGTCATGATTTCGGACTAGGGATGCTAATGCACTCTGCAAAAGTGTAATACACTTCAACGTCGTACTTATGGGAAAAGTTGGTGTAGTCAGATGGGTAGTCAGACACCAATACAGAATCTACGGTTTATATTTTGGTAAGTTTATATTCAAGTTTTATATTCTGTGTTGATGTTTGAGTACACCTTTGAGTACACCAAGTTTCCCTATAAGTGCACTATGACGTTAAAGTGTACTACTCTTTTGCAGAGTGTATTACCATTCCTGGCCTGAAACCATGGCATATCCATAATATGAAAACACATCAACATATGCATGTACAGGGTAGCCCAAAAAGTACGAAACATGCTGATTGCAGCTAAACTGAAAGTTTAATAAAAAATTTTTCAAAAAAAAAAAATGTTCCCTGGTTGCTGCAAGATCGTCTGTATCATCCACATTTGATTTACTGTACACAGTATTCAAAAATAGAAAAAATAAAGTTTCGTTTCATCAATGGCAGCCATGTTAAATATGGCTCGAAATGAAAAAAGTTGTTCAGAATACCAAAACATGGGGCTATGCAGAAAATAATAACATGGCTGCCATTTAAACGAAACCTTATTTTTTTATTTTTGAACACTGCATACTAAATGAAATTTGGATAATAAAGACGATCCTGCAATAAAATAGGGAACAAGTTTTGTTTAAAAAATGTTTCGATTAAACTTTCAGTTTAGCCGCAATAGATATTTTGGGTACTTTTCGGGCCACCCTTAGAAGTCCTTACGGAAGGATGCAACCTTAAGGGGCTATGTATCAAAAAGATTAGTTTTTACGACTTGGCGCCCATTGAGACTTTTGATTTACACGTGGAAAACTACCAGAATCCAAAGTTTCAAAGAAAGACATTTTATTTAAGGATCTAGCGGAGTCCTTTGTCGTTCGAGATGCGCGCATTTAAATATGAAAAGGTAATAATAAAACGCAAACTTTAAATACTTCGTTAAGAATAGATACAGTAAATATTTCTTACGCTACAAAATAATACAATAACTTTGTAAAAACAACGTAATCACAATAAGTTTTAATTCAGTGTGGCAAGAAGTTCACTAAAACATTATTAGGAATTACATAATTAGGTAATTTTTAATTGATATTTTTTGTGAAGTCAAGCGGTTTATTTTTCATGTCGTCCTTGCTACTTCTTCGTTGTTTAACACGTCTGTTTTGAAACCAGATTTTAATCTGTTTCTCGGTTAATTTCAGTTCCGGGACCAATTGCCTCCTTCTTTCTAACACTGGATACGGGTTTATGGCGAACTCTTTTTCTAAACGTTGCAATTGGTCATCAGTGTATGGCACTCGACCTTTTGACATTTTTGAAATTTGTGATCTTTTCATGACATGTAATGTTAGATGTTTTGCGAGTTCCGATATACCTAAAAATGAAATATGTTAATAACAACATTATTTACATATAAAAGAAAAGAAGAAGGGAAAACTAAATTTTCACATACCTTTCAGACAAAACTNAAATACATGAAGCAAATTGCCTAAAACATAAAGATTCTTTTCTGGTTTCAATAAAATTGGATGACGTGTTGTTTTCTTTTTTGCCAAATGTTCTGGCGAAAATTCGAAAACAAAATCTTTTAGCAGAGCCTTAACAAGTTAAAATACAACCTCCTCAAGGTAAATAGTAAAAAGGATAGAAAGAAACAGGTAATTAGATTTTAAATTGCAGGACTTTTACTATACTCCGTAAGGTAAATTCATGGCACCTGCTTGTAAAACTGAATAACAAGTTAATATAATTAAGCAATTTTGTGAACTGTAAGTAAATGTAAAGTCATTCGGTTTTTGTGTTTCGCTTTGTAAGTGCAGCCGGATATGGTACACGGTATACTTGGCGTTTTTCCGCACTCGTACCGCTTATGCCTTTTTAGAGTGGCGAAAAGTTTGTAAAGTCGATCGCAACTATTGCATACGTAGCCTTCCATTGTTTTCGAATATCCTGTTATTATTTCCTTTGGTCGTCGTCCGCAAACGTAAGTGACGTGTCTGTTTAAAGCTCCCTTCGATTTGTACACTTTCTCGCAATTAGGACAAGGATGATCTGTGTACATTGTCCTTAAACGACCTGAAAATAAATACGCAAATCGTTGTTATATTTAATAACAACTCAAAACGAAATTACTTTGCAACTATTTTACATAAAAGTTCACACATTGGTTCACACATTGTAAATAATAAATAAAAACGCTTGCAACACCTTTGAATAAAACAATAAATATTAAAGAGTGCAGCGTGGTTATAAGTTAAATAAAAAAGAAACACACTTTTATTAGTTTATTGTAGCAGTATGGGTATTTTGGTCGGTATTTAGGAATTCAGTTGACGATAAAATTTTCTAAAAGTACCAAACAACAATCATCATATAACCGAACACATTATTGATTTGATTAAACAGCGATATTTTGAGATTAACTTCAATTCAGCGCTCTATTTTTGTTCAGTTACACACTGTTTTGTTTATACTGATAATAAAAGCAAGAAAGGTGTTTCTGGTAAAGTTATTGGCATATTGAAGCCAATAATCCAATATAGGTAACCAAAACCAGTATAATAATATTTCTACATTTTTATCTCAGAAAACATTCAACATCACTGTTTACAGTTAAAATGGAGGGCTCCATTCCCATCCCTAGTTGTATAATGGCATGCAGGGGTAAAATATTTTTTATGGAGTTGGATTAGAAATAAAAAAGTAACAAATTATTATGGCTTTATTTAATTTAAAATATTACATTACATCAAAAATATAATTGTAATATAAAATTTTCTTTTTTAGAAAAAATAGTGTAGATATACTGGCGCTCCTAAGTAAATGGCTTGCCAATTTGATGTTTCATTTTGATATGAGTAATGAGATTGTATTTTCTCTTAGTCCTGTATGTACAATTCGCACATTTAAAGCTTTTTTGCTTTCCACAATCCAGTCTGCGATGGGCGATTAAGGTACTTTTGTTTTTATATGATTTATTACATGACGAACAATAATACTTCTCGCCTGGTTTACCGGCAATTTCTGAAAATAAAAATACTGACTGATGAAACTAATAAAACTGGTCGGAATTATATCGTAGTCGCATCTTCTGTAAACTTACATCTGAGTTTTGATTATTGCTATTTGTGTCTACTTTTGTTAAAAGGATCAATCATTAATACTATTTAGTAATTATTTAGATGAGTTAATTAATGTTTAACAAGACCATTAATGGTATTTATTTCTTTAATTTAGCTATAGCATTACGGAGCGGTTGCGACTAGTTGTAAGTGTAGCCTACAAATATCGGGCATAGTTTAGTTTGTGGTGAATTAGTTTGGATTAGTTCGTGCACAATATGGCGATGACGTTAACCCAACCTCTCAATAATTTTGTAGTACACTTCGTTTACTTTCTACAGCGATGTGACCTTCAGTTTGACCGGCGCAAAGTAGAAAAGAACAGCACTAGGCCAGAAAAGGAAGGAGACAACTCACGGTCAAACTCTTAACCGGTGAAGAGCGTATAATCCGTACAGTACTGCACGGAAAAATTGACTATTTTATCCACTATAATTGCATTGCTCAAATGTGCTGTTATTGGTACCATTTACTATTAAAAATATCAACGAAATGTTCATTTATATTTGAAGACATATTAAAGGCTTTAACGCTTGTTTTTCGACTGGCACTACTATTCATGAAAAAGTATGTTTAATGAACATGAGTCGAAAGTATAATGAGCTTTTTTCTCCCTACCTACGATTTTGCCAGCGCGCATCCAAGATATTGGAAGGGGCACATCGCTATAGAAAGTAAATGAAGTATACCTACGTGTTATAATGCACGTAAATCGAATTAAATACAACAATATATAAGTATGCTCTTGAACAGAATTTTGTCGAAACCAAAGATGAGGAATGAAATTTTAAAATTATCTTAATTCTCACTAGGCCTCCAAAGCCTTTCTATCTTTAACCCTTTTACCGTAGATAGACGGCGAAGTGTCTATAAAGAAGTGACCGCTTCACCAAATATAGAAACCACTTTGAGTTAAATTTCACATAATTTATTTGTAAAGATCCTGAACGAATTCTGTAAAGGTTAATTCAATGTAGTTTCTAGACTCATTCGTTAACAAGATATTATGTGTGTTTTCTTATTAATTTCGCCAGTTTGATCCGGTGTTTATATATTTATATGATCTAACTAATCGTACGTTCTAACCAAGAACATACCGTTTCAAACGATTGATTTACGTATAATTAGTATAGAGTTCTTCTAGATTGTAAAATATTTAAAATTGATGTATGTAAAGTGCGTTTTTATTAAATTACTTCCTAGGTATAATAAGTTATTACATTCAATATTATGTGACTAGTATTACTGGAGGTACTGCGAACTATGTTGAGATTTTATGTGAATTGTTACACTGAACCTTCTTTTGGCAGAATAATTGCAATAGGGGCAGCTATATTGGGGTTGTTTGCCGCATTCCAGTTTTTCATGGCGCTGGAGAGTTCTGTAGTTTTTGTAACATTTTCCGCATCTTGTACACGAAAACGGGCGAACGATATAACCTAAAATAATGCCGTGTTAATTCATTCTAATTAAGTATAACACGAAAATGTGCAGTAATGGTTTGACAAATTAATTAACTGATTTATAATATGACGCATGCAATTTTCTTCTAGTGCTTTTCAAACATCTACAGGTAAAAAATTGACTATTTAATACAAAATATCTTTGGCTACCTACCCTACATTCAATTACACTTTTGGCTTTGCTATTCTGTGAAGTTATTCAATAACTACATCAATGAAACACTTACTAATTAATTATTCGTGTTAAAATTCTGGGACCTGGTACCAAGAATGCGCAGTTTTATATTTTTAAAGTCACCACTCTACTTCAAATACATAAAAATAAGAGTAAAACTTCAATCATATTTTAAAATACTCAAGGGGGAAGTGGATTCTTAAGAAAACAAAGTAAACACACATGTTTGAGATTCTAATTTCAATTGAAGTGACTTACATTTACGTCGACGAAGACGAAGAAGCGGTCGAGTGAATGGCATACAGGTAAAGCCGCGAGTACAGTTAGTATATTCTTTTGTGGAAAGTTTTCAAAGGACAAAAAAGTAATTCCATAACTATGTACCTACTATATATTTATTATAGGTAACTTTTTATTGACGCTCAAACACAGTAAAATATAGGACTAGTGGAAATTCACATATATAAATATATATATATGCTTATGTTTATACATATTATTGTATGTACTACAAGGAAAATTTTTCGAATTCACATAAATTTATTGTGTCCATACAATTTTCTCCTTTCCACATCGGATAGCGTGATATTTAAGGTGATGTTTATGGTAAAATTTTTTCCCACATGCGGGACACTGAAACCGTTTGGGTTTTCCGCATTCGTACGTCAGGTGTTTCGTTAAACTTCGGTTGTGAAGATACTGCCTACCACATTGCTTACAACAGTAATTGGTGACACCTAAAAAAAATTATACTGTAAAATATAGTATATATTTATAAGTACATACGTACAAAAAAACGAGACAGAAATGCAATCAAAATAACTGCGCACTTTACAGAGGGCGTTGGAAAAATCTTTGCGAAAAAACTACGAAAAGAAAACACTCACTTTGGGCTCTTAATGTGCATCCATTTTTTTTTTCTTTTCTCAAAATGAGCGATAACGCCCTAATAGTCCTACAAAGGGCAGTAAATACCCTAGGGTCTAAACTGTATAAGTGTAGAACTAGACCAGGCTCTAATACTAACCGCTGCAATAGCTTTTGTAGGTAAACCCCGAGTAATCATGTTTTAACTCAAAAAAAGGATAGGTCACACGAGTCTTATACTTTTTTTGAGTAGGTAAATTAAAGTATCTTCGGGGAGCGCTAGAAAATAATTGATTCTCAAAGTGGGCAGTATAGGAAAAAAGTTTGAGAATTTGTGATCTGTAAGAACCTCTTTATTTAATACAATACTGAAAAAGTTTTGAGTACATTTTTCATCTGTAAATAGAAAAGGATCCCTTTTCAACCAATTTTTAGATTATATTTATTATTTACATTCTCCTATAGGCGGTACCCTACCGTGCATTTGTTTCTAACACAAAATATTTTCACATTCGTATAAGAATTAAAAGAACGAATACATTTTGTTTACAATAAGAAACAAGCTGATTTTCATTATTTTGTTGTGGAGGGTGAAGATTAATTTTCTTTTTGATCCTTGATTTTTATATTATTATCTGACAGTTCTGTAATGCTTCATTGCCATGTGAGTGACTAAATCGTATCTTCTTTTACATTTATACGAGCAATCTGTACACTCAAATCTCTTTTGTTTTCCACAATCCAAGCTTTGATGACTTATGAGCGTACTTTTATTTTTATATGACTTGTTACAAGTGGGGCAATGAAACTTTTTACCACTCGTGACGGCGGTATCGTCTAAAATAATGGAAACACATTAACGAATTTATCAAAAACCAAAAAAGACATTTAATAAGGGTCGAAGCAACATTACCCCGAAAATGATTATACGTATGTATTATGTTTACGCATCCTTACAAGAGCTCTTCAAATAGTTATTTAAATGATAAATGGTAGGAATTAATCACCAACAACAAGAGCTAGAAGCATCCCGCTACCCATCAGGCAATTAAAAATTGGTCAATTAAGCAGTTCATTTACTGCAATCACGACATATAATAAAATGCCCGATGAGTTTAAATCGGCGACAAGGGTAGACCCCATTCGTAATAAAATGCGAAAGTAGATTATTGATAATATTTGAAAATATACATTCCATGCCTTGGAGTGCTTACCTACCCTTTGCTAGAATATATATTTATTTTTTGTTGTAAAGTTTGATTCTTGGGATACAAAATGTCAGTTTAAGTTTAGAGATAACTTGTTTTTGTATATTACCATTACACTATTATGTCTTCTACTAGCGGGAGTAATTGTATGTACATTAATATACTAGTACTAATATCTATGTATTCTGGTTAATTAAATAAATAAATGTAAATACCCTANGTGTGTGTGTGTGTGTGTGTGTGTGTGTGTGTGTGTGTGTGTGTGTGTGTGTGTGTGTGTGTGTGTGTGTGTGTGTGTGTGTGTGTGTGTGTGTGTGTGTGTGTGTGTGTGTGTGTGTGTGTGTGTGTGTGTGTGTGTGTGTGTGTGTGTGTGTGTGTGTGTGTGTGTGTGTGTGTGTGTGTGTGTGTGTGTGTGTGTGTGTGTGTGTGTGTGTGTGTGTGTGTGTGTGTGTGTGTGTGTGTGTGTGTGTGTGTGTGTGTGTGTGTGTGTGTGTGTGTGTGTGTGTGTGTGTGTGTGTGTGTGTGTGTGTGTGTGTGTGTGTGTGTGTGTGTGTGTGTGTGTGTGTGTGTGTGTGTGTGTGTGTGTGTGTGTGTGTGTGTGTGTGTGTGTGTGTGTGTGTGTGTGTGTGTGTGTGTGTGTGTGTGTGTGTGTGTGTGTGTGTGTGTGTGTGTGTGTGTGTGTGTGTGTGTGTGTGTGTGTGTGTGTGTGTGTGTGTGTGTGTGTGTGTGTGTGTGTGTGTGTGTGTGTGTGTGTGTGTGTGTGTGTGTGTGTGTGTGTGTGTGTGTGTGTGTGTGTGTGTGTGTGTGTGTGTGTGTGTGTGTGTGTGTGTGTGTGTGTGTGTGTGTGTGTGTGTGTGTGTGTGTGTGTGTGTGTGTGTGTGTGTGTGTGTGTGTGTGTGTGTGTGTGTGTGTGTGTGTGTGTGTGTGTGTGTGTGTGTGTGTGTGTGTGTGTGTGTGTGTGTGTGTGTGTGTGTGTGTGTGTGTGTGTGTGTGTGTGTGTGTGTGTGTGTGTGTGTGTGTGTGTGTGTGTGTGTGTGTGTGTGTGTGTGTGTGTGTGTGTGTGTGTGTGTGTGTGTGTGTGTGTGTGTGTGTGTGTGTGTGTGTGTGTGTGTGTGTGTGTGTGTGTGTGTGTGTGTGTGTGTGTGTGTGTGTGTGTGTGTGTGTGTGTGTGTGTGTGTGTGTGTGTGTGTGTGTGTGTGTGTGTGTGTGTGTGTGTGTGTGTGTGTGTAGGTGTGTAGGTGTGTAGGTGTGTATGTGTGAGTGTGTGTGGGTATGTGTGGGTGAGTGTGGGTGTGTGTGGGTGTGTGTGTGCGTGTGTGTGCGTGTGTGCGCGTGTGTGTGTGCGTGTGTGTGCGTGCGTGTGCGCGTGTGTGTGCGTGTGTGTGCGTGCGTGTGCGTGCGTGTGCGTGTGCGTGTGTAGGTACTACAATAAAGTATTTATTTGAAATAAGTACTTTCAAAATACGTATTTTGCATTTAGCATTTGAAATACAAAAGGGTAAAAGGGTAATCTATTTTGTATTTTACATTTGAAATATCAAATCAAAAAGTATTTGCATTTTGTATTTAAATACTTTTATTAAAAAATCATTCTGCACATCTCAAATCTGAAACCATCTCCGGTGTCCATACATAAACATTTACATGCGTCACATACGGAATAAAAAAATTGGTTTACATCAGCTACGTATAGGTACACTAAAAATAATTAGCTGGGTTTGTTTGCATCATTGCGAGCGTTTGTTCCTTTGTCAGCTTGTGAAATGTTGCATAATGTTGAACGAGATGGGTTTTATGCTTTGCATGATACTCGCACAACTTTACCATGCACCTGAACTGCGGTTCCACCCCACACTCGAATTTCCTGTGCCTCCACAATGACCTGTAAAATTTGTACTCCCGGAAGCATTTGTTACAAATAAACCTCTCGCCGTCACCTGAAAAACAACTAACAAAGTAAACAATTATACTTAATATTTAATTTAATTGTAATTTAAACATATTCAAAAGCTTGCTACTTCGGAATCGACAAAATAAAAAGTGCACAGAACTATTGCTTTATTTGAATAAATGCTAATACGTAAAACAATAAGGAACTTCAATAAGTATAACATTAAAAGGGATAAACTAGTGTCCGACCGAAAGTTCGGTTTCGGTTTCGGTCGAGTTTCGGCAAAAAAACGAGTTTCGGTTTAGTTTCGGTTTCGGCGGCAAGCCTGCCGAAACTACGACCGAAATCGAAACAGCGTTTGGGAGTTCTCGCGCTCTGCTCGGTCATGTTCGGCGCGATAAATTCCATCCAAGCGAAGTATACTACACTTACTCAAATAAACATCTGACCAATTTTAAGTATTTTTAAGGCGCAATTAAAGTATTTCCTTAAATGAGGGGTTGTTATGTTGATTTTGATTTGATTATCATTAAGTGAAAATGTCAAAGACTGCACAGCTATGTGATTTAAAGATAAAAAAATAAAACTGACTCAAAACATGATCCTTATAAGGAAGTTTCGGTTTCGGTTTCGGCCGAAACTTTGACCGTTGCCGAAATTCGGTTTCGGTCGTAAAAACCAGTTTCGGTCGGACACTAGGATAAACACATGGTTTTCCCTTGGCTACACAACTCAGTACAATTATAGATTTTGTGAATGGGTTGTCATATGTGGGTAAATGCGCTATGAATATTGTGTATTGATTACAACGAAACGAACTATTTTGTAGTAATATTATTGTAAAATAACATGGTAAAAGTTCATGAATTCACAAAGATATTTTTATGCTCACAGGAATCTTTGTCATTATAGGTGAAAAAGTGAAATTTGACTAGTAACTATTTGCTATCGATTAAATAAAAATAACACGAAAAAGTATCAGTCAATATGTCTTAACTAGGTAATGGCAAGCTGGAGGTTCTGACAATGAAACAGATTGACTGAAGTAATATTGATCAACAAAATAAGTACACAGTGTGTCCCAAAAATAACCGAACTTTAAATTTAAATCATACAGCATGCAGTGCCATCTATTGCAAATTTGCAGGATTAAAAAGATAACAGAAGGTCTCGAATCAAGGCAATGTTGATTACTTTTTATGATTCGAAGGGTATTGTCCACAAGGAATTTGTTCCAGAAGGTCGAACTGTTAATGGAGAATACCATTTAGGCCTTTTACATCTGTTGTGGAAAAGAATTGGTCGTGTTAGACCTGAATATCCAGCAGGAGTACAGCTGTTTTTATTGCATGATAATGCACCACCTCACAAGACCAAAAAAGTTAACGAATTTTTGATAAAAAAACGGATTTCTCTCATCAACCACCCTCCGTATTCGCCCGTTCTATCACCATCTGACTATTTTCTATTTCCAAAACTGAAAACCAAGATGAAATGAGCATTTTATGATGATAGCCCAGCCATTCAAGCAGCCGTAACCGAGGTGCTGAAGAATATTCCTATAAATGACATGTTGATCGTTCCAAACGTTCTATTGAGTCTAATGGAACCTATTTTGAATAAATAATAACTTTCAAAGATAATAATATAATGTGTATTTTATTCTATATCCAAAAAGTTCGGTTATTTTTGGGACACACTGTGTAAATTGCTCAAGTTTCCGATCATTTGTGAAGTTTAAGGAAAATTGTGGATCTGATGAATATTTTTCAGATGAACTTGCAAAATTTCCCTTGTTTTACACTTCCTGGGGCACAAGAAACATTGTATGGACACTTGTTTTCCGCATTCGAATTGCTCATGCAGATGCAGTTGGTGTCTATTGTAACATTTGCCGCACTTGAGGCAAATGTTTCTGCTGCTAATGTTGCATACTGCGTCGATTTGGTAACCTAAAAAGAAACATATTAATAACCCGAAATTAAAAAACAAACAAACTCTACGTTATCAGCGGTAGGTATCTTAGTGGCAGGAAATGTACAAAAGCGTGTATTGAAAGACTTTTGGTGTGAAATATTGTATTTTATTAAACCCTCAGATATACATATGCATGTTCGCAAAGTCAGCGAATCGCAACAGCACAAAATAATTTTAACAATTATGGTGAAAAACAATTTCATGTAGATTATTTGCATCAGCCTCATTAGCTTTACTAAAATCTCGTATATTTGGTTGAGAATGCATGATCTACTAATGCTCTTTCAGCATAATCATGCATTCGCCAATAAGCTCCATGACCACCGGGCATCCTAGGCACCTAAAATAATATTATTTAAAAATTATTTCGCAGAATAATAAATTTCTATTTAGGTCAGTGGTCAAATACACATTAACATATCTGAGTTTGTGAGTAAGAATAGCAGTAATACAAATAGGTAGGCCTTTGGGATCGATTGGTCTATCAATCACGAGCAATGGGTCAGAAGTATGTCAAGGTGGAGAGACGGGTGATCGTATTTACTGATCTTTATGATTTTTCTGTCACTTTCTACGTTTTTCCATAACTATTAGAGTACGTGTCCGCCGCCTTCACTATATTAAAAATTCGTAGATGTCCGGCGCCTCCATCATATTAAACTTTTTATTTATATCACCATCATCATCATCATCAGCATATAGTCGTTAGTCCTAAGACTGGTTGGATACGCACCTCCACTCTTTCCTATCCTTAGCTAATCTTCGAATTTCCCTAAAACTAGAACAGCCCACATCCTTAATTGTTTGCGAACAGTAATTTAATCTAGGTCAACCTTTACCCCTCCTAACTCCCGTTTATGCGTTTAATAGGCCTCTGACTAGACCATCATGCCTGAGATGGTGTCCTACCAACCTATCTCGCCTATTTCTTATTGACTTCTATACAGTCCTCTATTCTCTTATTCTTTCTAATATCTCTTCATTTCTAACCACCTCTATCTAGTACCGTATCCTCATCATTCGCCTGTAGCACCACATTTTGAACGCTTTTAGCCTTTTCTTTTCCGCCCCGTCCACCGTCCATATTTCGCACCCGTACAGCGCCGCGCTCCGAACATACACCTTAGACAATCTTTTTCGAATTTCTAAATTTACCGTTCGCGAGCATAGAATTATTGAAGGCGACTTAATAGGTACTACTCATAATAATAATTATTCAAGTAATATAATGGTATTTGCCAACCAACTAAGAATAAATGAAGATTGCTGTCCGTCTCACCACCCTGACTCACTTCTGCTCGCTTGGCGTTATTGATTAATCGATTAATCCCCAATGAATCAAACTGACCTTTATAAAACATTCCTTCTTAAAACTCAAAGTGTAACGTATATTGTTCTTCCATTTATCATTCGCAATACGATAATAAGGGTAACGATCGGCAATGAATTTATAAATTTCAGATAAAGGAAGTTGATGATTGGGCGACGTGATTAGAGCTTGAGTAATAAGTTGAACAAAAGTAAACGGAGGCTTCCTCAGTTGTTGTTGTCCCTTTAAAAAATGGCGATTGTTATTTAGTAACAACTTGTTCTGTCGATATTCAATTACCTTGTCGAAAAATAACGAATTATTAAATTCACCGCTTTTTAATGTAGCATCACCTGAAAGTAAATAACAAATAATAAATAATTAAATAAAAAACTTTTAAATTAACTTATGACTTATGTTTATTTTTCTTTGTTCATGCAGCTTAATTTTCTGTATTTCTTATTTATTGGTATTGTAGAAGTCGTAGTCGTTATTTGTAAGGAAAGTTAATAACAAACCAAAAGTTTTTAATTACCGTTTTATTTTTATTCAACTAAATGGACAAATAATTGATTAAGCCTAGCAATTGTAAGAAATGAAAATGTATAAAAAAAAAACAGTATTAGTCACTATAATTAACATTACTTAATTCTATGTTATGATTCATTGCCATATGAAATGTTAGTGATCTATGACGTTTAAATGTTGCGGTACAGCACTGGCAACTGATTTTGGGACTTTCCTCCAGACATGCCATCATATGCCGCGTAAGATGGTCCTTTCTTTTGCACAATTTACCACATCTGTTACACACGAAACCCAATTTTCGTATGTCGGCGTGTTGTTCATTCAAATGCCTTTTCAAATAGACTTCTCGTGCAAACGACTTGTGACACGTTTCACAAATAAATTTGGCAGTTATGTTTGAACTGGTACTACTTCGGCTACCTAAAATATGAGGAGAGTTAGAGGGTAGAAGAGTACATACGTACCTACATACTAACAAAACTTCAGAAAATACTTGACACGAAAATTTGGAACATCAAAAACACGCGGAGTAAAGAAAAGTTACCTCCCATCAGCACGCTAGAGCCGATACTGTTGATCGATATGCACACAATAGCGCAAAGAGATTTTTGTATCTTTTTCATAAACTAGGCAATAGCTACCGACATTAAGCTTAAGGGATTATTTATTGTACAAATATAAATAAAGAATTAAATAAAAAAGGACGTCATCATATGTATCAGGAGGAAATAGGGGACCACTGCTTAGTACTACAAATATAAATAAATGTAAACTGCATCAACAAAGCCAGCGAAGCGAAAAATATTTATTAAAAAATTAGACTACATAAAAATGTCGTAACACATGTTTATTTATAAATAATCTATAGTGATCCTAAAGCTAAAGTAAGTTAACATTTCAAAAGCGTATACTATTATTATCATGGAAAATGGATATTTTAATAATTGTTCGCAGGAATAACATTCACACGAAAACTTTTTTTTATCAGGCAGTACATGTAATATATAAGTAGGTAGTTTAAAACGACATGAGCGTTTAAATCCTGAGAGGTGGATTACAGGAATATTGAATGTTCATGTCATTTTTAAGTGCCCCTAATAAAGATACGGTATGGGGTATACTTTTGCACCAAAAATGAATTAAACTTAACAATTTATATTATAAAACAGACCGTCATGGAACTGTCAAGTTCAAATAGCATAAAAGGAAAACTTATTGCATGAAATTGTCTACAACTCTATTTCTGTATACACTAACTTTATCATTTTTTTTTCCTTCTAGGTTTTTAATGTGAAAAAAGTTAATGGCAAAATTCTGTAAATTGCTGTCTTCACATTTTTACCAAGTAGTTAAAAAACACATAGCAAACACCTAATACATAAGTAGCTGTTACATATGTCAGCGTAAAGTCTCTGTTGGAAGCTATACTTCGTTTATTTTCTGTAGCGATGTGACCTTCAGTTTGACCGGCGCAAAGTAGAAAAGAACAGCACTAGGCCAGGAAAGGAAGGAGACAACTCTCGGTCAAACTTTTAACCGGTGAAGAGCGTATCATCCGTACAGTACTGCACGGAAAAATTGACTATTTTATCCACTAAAATTGCATTGCTCAAATGTGCTGTTATTGGAACCATTTACTACTAAAAATATCAACGAGATGTTTATTTATATTTGAAGACATATTAAAGGCTTTAACGTTTGTTTTCGACTCGCACTACTATTCATGATTGAACAAAACTTTTGGCAGGTACTGTATGAAAAAGTATGTTTAATGGACAAGAGTCGAGAGTATAATGAGCTTTCTTCTCCCTACCTACGATTATGCCAGCGCGCATCCAAGACATTGGAAGGTGCACATCGCTAGAGAAAGTAAATGAAGTATAATAATAGACTGTATCTAAATCATCGATCGCAACTTTTTGTGTTAATAAAAAATTACATGTTTAATCGTTAGTGCTTTCATCTGAAACGCATTTGTCAGATGAAGATTGAGTGCCTCTTCTGCTTTTCTTTCGTCTATTTTGGAACCAGACCTTCACTTGTCTCTCGCTAAGACCTAACTCTCGGGCCACTTCGGATCTACGTTGCCTACATATGTAAGGATCAATAAAGAATTCCTTTTCTAATTCGAAGATCTGCTGTCGAGTATACGGGACTCGTCCTTTAGGACCTCCGTACCGTGTGGTTCCTGTTTGATCGTGCTTCGATTTTTTAATAGCTTCATCTACGTTCGGCATTACTTGGGCCACTAAAACATATTATTTATTACAGTCTAGTCATATACAATAAATATTAAGGGGTGTAGTTAGTATTCTTCTTTCTCTACTTCATGCACGTTTAATACCTAATGTCACTACAGTAACTGAAACCAAAAGGGAAGAAAAAGGACTTAAAAAGGATTTACATGTGTAAAATATGCTTTGTAAGATTAGTCATCCAGTTTTATACATTATTTGTTACAATGTAACTAACACGAAACACACTTTTCTTCACCGCTGGTCACAAGACACTGTTTTTCACTTTTTAACGCGAGATTGAGATAATACGAATATTAACAGTTTATAAGAGCAGTAAGGACAAATTATCTCTCAATAATAGTTATAACTTTACTTCTTTGGATACTTCCAATTAAAAGCTTGCCTAATATCATTTAAATGGCAGTAAAAACGCTTTCAAAAACAAAATTATAAAAATTAAAGTTATTTTAAGGGTAAAAATATATTTTATTATAATATGAGAGAAGAAAGATGGCAAGTTACTAATCCACGTCAATTTGCAGTCATTAACATAGGAAGATAATCAGTTAGTAGGAATTACAATAAGAAAGAAGTAGGTTGGGGTGGTGAAACGGCTGATGAACGGTGTTCATTTGTCAACCGCGTGTGACGTTTTCACTTACAATAATTATTGTTCAAATTGAATAAACAAAGTGAGAAAAAAATTACTCCGATACGTAACTAATATTTTATTATAAGATACATTATCTGGCAAGATTACCTACAATGTAAATTATAGTTCTTTTCACAAAAAGGAAATATCTTAAACGTTTATGAAGTGTTCGAGTCCGAATCAACGCTTGGCCTACACATACCGTACTTTTTAAAAGTTAAAGGAATCTTATGAACATAATACAAGTGTCTAAGATAATTTCCTTTCTGTCTAGCTTCGTATTTGCACATGGTACATTTATGTTGTGGCACTTTTCCACATTCATTCTTACGATGTTGTGCAAGGGACCCTTTTCTGCTATAGATTCTTCCACATATGTTGCAAGCATAAGAACCGTTCCCGGACTGATCCTCATCTGAAATAAAAATGTATTAGAACATATTATAACATCAGAAGTTTGAAATAAGTGCATCTTACCTAGAATTATTAAAGGGTTGGTAGATTGGGTTCGAAACATGGACAGTGGGCGGAAAAGAAAAGGTTAGAAGCTTTCGAAATGTGGTGTTACAGGCGAATGATGAGGATAACGTGGATAGAAAAGATAAGAAATGAAGAGGTATTAGAAAGAATATGAGAACAGAGGACTATGTGAAAGTCAATAAGAAAAAGGCGAGATAGGACACCTTTTCAGACATGAAGGTCTAGTCAGAGACATATTAGAGGCAGAAACAGGAGTTAGGAGGGGTACAGGTAGACCTAGGTTAGATTACTGTTCGTAAATAGTTAAGGATGTGGGATGTTGTAGTTTTAGGGAAATGCGAAGATTTGCTCAGGATAGGAAAGAGTGGAGGTACGTGTCCAACCAGTCTTAGGACTGACGACCTTATGATGATGATGAGATACCTATCCAGTCATGTCCATCCTTGTTGTTTTACACATTTTAATCCCATAAAAGTTGTTTACGTGCAAGGATTTGTACACCATCGCACGAAAACTTAATAAATACATTGATATCGTATAAAAAAAATAAGTATCTTTTATTCTTAATTCAAAAGATATGTACACAATGGGAAATTTACAATTGTGTTCTTTTATAATACATATGTTACATTTTGATTGGAGTACATCACGTACCTATGGTGTATCGTTAATTTAAATTATCTAATCGCAAAACAACTCAAGTAAATAAAGTTAGACTTACCCTAACACAAACCAAACAATTATCAGCAGCGTAATCTGTAATGATTGTCTGTTGCTGATAATTGTTAATTACGTGTTTCCTTTTACTAATACAGATTGTTGTCTCAATTTATTAGTTTCTATTTAAATTATTTAAACACCTAAACCTAAAATATAAATAAAAACTTTTAGTTCGCAATTAATAAACATAAATTAATAAATAGGTAATGCAGATGATTGTCGCTAGTGATTAGCAAAGCAAAACTAAGATCAGCGCTGTCCCAGTCTTGGTATTGCTCTTGGTATTGTTGATAAAGTTCAGGTTTTGATCTTGGTTTCGCGTGTTAAGTCTTTGCCTTGCTCACTTAATTTGATACTTGTATTTTTGATACATTTACTGTTAAAATTTAGTAAAACAAATTGAAAATTTCAGATAGTTTAACTCATAAATTCACCGGTAATAATAATTTTTTATTTAGTCATGTGTATTTGGTCTTGCATTTTCGTAAGACCAAGATCAATACTAAGACTGTAAGTTCAATATCAAAATATCAATTTTACTCATCGCCAATTGCAGGTAAAACAGGCTGTTAATTAATAATCAAATTACATATAATAGTAGTCCAATCCTCTTCTAAATATTTGTATGCCTCACTTCAATATGTCTGTACACATTTCCCCTTTGGGTAGATTTATATCCACACAGTGGGCAGTGAAACGATGGATCTTTGCCGCACTCATATTTACAGTGCCTTCGTAAGCTCGTGGAGTGTTTATAAACCTTTTTGCAAACATCGCAAGGGTATCCACCCGATGATCTTCCTACAAATAAAATTTTCATCCGTGTATTATTTATTCATTCATTCATTCATATACATAGGTAGTATCAAAGGTAAGAGTATTTACAGGGAGGTAGTACATGCATATATTTACAGGTATTTTAGAATTTTTATTGTGACGCCATTGAACAATAACATCATATGTTATTAAAATTTCTATTTGTCTTCGAAATGAGGATATTTACAGCACATTACCAAGTTCAGATGGCCGATGGCCAGGCGCCTAGCATGTCCTTAACCGAGACGTATTAGGACACTGGCAGTGTGTATTAGGTAGGCTTCACACTTCAATCTCGCTTCGAGGTGTGCGAAGAGCGATGAA